TTCAAAGCCAGTCCAGGCAAGAAAGTTCATGAGACGCTTATCTCCAATTAACCACCAGAAAACCAGAAGTGGCGCTGTGGCTCAAGTGGTAGAGCCCTAGCCTTGAGCTGAAGAGCTGAGGGACAGCGCCCAGGCCCAGAGTTCAAGACCCACAGGGGAAAAAAAAAAATCTAGCAATGCCTCTGCATGGTCGAGGGCAGTCCAGACTCCACAGGACTGCAATAAAAGCCCTTCCCAGTGTGTCTCCCACTAGCCCTTCCAACCTGGTCTCCCCTACCACCTTCATAGCCCAAACTCCAGGCCTTTCTATGCCCAGCCAACTTGGATCAGACCTGTGCTCAGGCTTGCTTCTCTTATTTTTTGAAATGTTCTTCTCTCATCGTTCGTCTGTTTTAAAAAAAAAAAAACTATTAGCCCTACAGACAAAAATTTTCTAAATTCAGGCCAGATACAGGTGGCTCATGCCTAGAATCCTACCTACTCAAGAGACTGAAATCTGAGGATTACCGTTTAAAGCCAACCCAGGCAGAAATTCTTGTGAGATTCTCAGCACAAATTAATCAATTAAAGCCAGAAGTAGAGCTGTGGCTCAAGTGGTAGAGTGCTAACCTTGAGCAAAAAAGTTCAGGGACAGTGACCAGACCCTGAGTTCAAGCACCAAGAATGCCATATGTGTACACACATACATACATACACACACACACACACACACACATACACACACATATCCCCTAAATTCAATGCAAAATAAGTTCCATGAGAAAACACTAACATATAACATTAAAATTAAAAGTCTCTAATTACACAACTTGTTGGTGGAAACAGGAGGGAAAAACTGGTAGCAAGGGAAGGGATGACACTGTCCAGAAAGAAATGTACTCTTATCTGACTTAGGTAACTGCAACCCCTCTATACATCATCTTTATAAAAACAATAAAGCAAAAATAAAAATAAAGCTTGGCACTTATGGATCTTAGCTACTTAGAAGGCTGAGATCTGAGGATCATGGTTCAAAGCCAGCCCACAGAAAAGAACATGAGTCTCTTATCTCCAAATAACCACCAGAAAACTAGAAGTGGCGCTGTGGATCAAACTGGTAGAGCACTAGCCTTGAACAAAAAAAAATCTCAGGGACCATGCCCAGATCCTGAGTTAAAGCACCACAACCAACAACAAAAAAGAAAAAAAACAGTACTCATTACCTGACTTGTGTAACTGTAACCCTCTGTACATCACCTTGTAATAACAATTTAAAAAAAGAAAAAAGTAAAGAATCACAAAAAAAAAAGAATTTCTGTTTCAAAAGGCCATCAGTAAGTGAGTGAAAAGACAAGCCTCAGCCTTAGGAAAGAAATTTGAAAAGCACAGAGCACAGACCACACAAAGGAACTCCATATCCAGACTATGGAAAGAGTGACAAATCAGTAAGAAGGCAATCACCCAATTGTTTAAAAATGGGGGACATTGGGGAAAAGTGAGGGAAAGGATAACACTGCCCAAAAAGAAATGTCTTCACTACCTGACTTATGAAATGGTAACCCCTTAGTACAACACCTTATAACAGTAAAACTATACTTTAAAAAAACACAATCAAGAAAAAAAATGGGCAAAACTTGAACAGGCACTTCACAAAAGAGGATATTCAAATAGGCAATAAGCATAAGAAAAATTCTCATCATCACAAAAATATAAATAACTTCATAAAATCTGCCACTTAACTAGATAACTAAAATTAAAAAGACTGAATAACAGCAGTTTTCACAAGGATACAAGACAACTAGAACTCTCTCACGTTTCTGGTAAATGCATAAACTATACTATTACCTTGCAAAGCTGGCAATATCTACAATCTCTGATCATATTCATGGCCTCTAAGACAGCTACTTCTCTCCTAAACTCTGTGTACAGACCCACCCAAAGGAAGATATGCATGCTCATGTAAGTATGCAGCTGTGGCCAGGTGCTGATGGGTCACCCCTGCAATCCCCAACTTGGAGGTTGAAAGCAAGCCTGGGAAGAAAAGTTGATGAGACATCTTCTCAACTCCTAAACCAATACAAGGTTCACACTTGTCATCCTAATCTATATGCTGGGCTGAGACCCAGAGCACTGAAGTTCCAAGTCATGTGTCCTAGTAGGAAGCAAGAGCCTATCTTTAAGATAACCAGCAAAAAAACAAGACTGAGGCATGGCTCAATAGTAGAGCACCTACTTAGCAAGTATAAGACCAAGTTAACCCCAGTACCATCACCACCCAAAAAAAAAAAAAAATGAACCTAATGTTAGAAACAGTTTAAAAAAAAAAAAAGTCTAGCTGTCACCAATAACTCAATGTCATATACATACAGTAGATTACTACTCAGGAACTGGCAGAAAAATCTCACAAAACTGTTGACGAATAAGCCAGACATATACTGTACACACTGTATGATTACACTTAAATGAAATTCAAAACTGATCTAGTAATAAGTCAGAAAAATGGCTGCTTATCTCCAGAAATAAGAGCACCGTTCTGATTATGAAGGGGCACAAGTGAATGCTGGAAATGTTCTTTATGTTGATTTGTGTGGGGACAACAGGGATATATATGTATACCACAGGTATACCTCATAAACACAAACATTTAAGGGAGTCTTGTATAGTGGCATACATCTGAATTCCAGCACTCAAGGGGATAAGGCTTTGAGTTCAAGACCAGCCTGGTCTCTACAGAGCAAGCTCTAGGGCTAACATTGCAAGATCCTATCTCAGACAAATAGAAGACATGTAAACAAAACATTTAAAGATTTAAAAAATTCATAATATAGAAAAAATTATCCTACCCATCTTTCAAGTTCAAATGACACTTTGTCCATAAAGTGTTTTTTTGGTTTTTGTTTTGTTTTGTTTTTTGGTTGAGAGGCTTGAATTTAGGGCCTGGATACTGTCCAGGTTCTAGCCTCTTTGGCTCAAGGCTAGCACTCTACCACTTTAAGCCATAGCTCCACTTTTGGTTTTTGAGTAGTTAATTAGAGATAAGACTCTCACAAGCACTTTTCTGCCTAGACTGGCTTTGAACCCCGATCATCAGAGCTCAGCCTCCTGAGTACCTAGGATTACAAGCATGAGCCACTGGCGCCCGGCTTATCCATAAAGTTTTATCAGCTGTTATGAATCTCTCCATCAGACCTCTGTGGCAGTCTGATGTCATTTCTTTCATGTCATTTTGTCACACTCCACCTTGAGTCTCCTTACTTGACCATATCTTTCACCTTCACCGACTCAGTGCTTGACAAATAATAGAACCTGAAAGCATGTTTGTTGAGTTAAACGGAAAAAAACTGGGTGGGTGCCCAGATGGGTAAAAAGGGGGGACAGGAACAGGAAAGGAGTCCTAGGGAAGGTCAAAGGAAGTCTCCTAGGAGACTTCCATTCTAATTTTACCTACTTCCTGAAATCACATTAAGAGTCACCTTGAAAGACAAAGAAAAAAGTCAAAACGCTAAGTCCTACTTACACTAAGGATAAATAAATATCACACTTTTTCACTTTCAGGAAACCTGCTCTGGAGTTTCAGTCTTGGATGGGAAAACTCTTCTTCAAGGAGAATAACAATCACATTGTCATGCTACTAAAAATAACATCCCCTGGGTGTGCAAAGAGCCACACTGCACATCAGAAAACTTAAGGCCGAATTCGAACTCTGTTCCCAACTATAGCCAATCTCTTCTCCTCTCTGGGCCTCAATTTCCTCGTATGTAAAAACAAAAGGAACTGGGTTGGCCAACTGTTTATAAAGTCCCTTCCTGTACTGACATTCTGACTATAAAGGTCGATAGCTCTCTCAGTCCAAAGCAGGGGCAACACCAAAACCTCCAGCAACACACGCAAAAGGCGCCGAGACCCACCGACGAGCAGGATTTGAGGAAGTCGTTCGGTCCCACAGTCTTTCATGGTTTAATGAGTGGTTTTTGTTTGTTATTTGCAGCCTTACCATGATTTGCAGAAGACTTCTGGGTTCCGCGTAAGCAGAAGTTAATAAACGGTGGGCTGTCATCTCCTCTTGAGGGGGAACAGGGTCTTCCCGCCCGCCTTCAAGCCTCCGGGATCCAAAAGCCACCAACACGACTGGCGGGTTGAATTTGCGCACACTGCGCGGCACACTGGAGCCTAAGTTAGATGGACGGGACGTGGGGAATTCTGGGATTTGTAGTCCTCGGCTTCTGGTGGTTGGCGGGGATTTGAGGTCCCTGCCGCGCCCTAGAATGCTGGGAAGTGTAGTCCTCGCTACTTTTCACAGTGCAACCTGCCATCGTTTCAGACCGCTCGTGTGCTCAGCCACGGGAGTAAGCCCCCTGAGCCTCTTCTGTTCGTAAGCCGTCCCTCCGCTGGGGCAAACTCTAGGCAACAACGAAAGAAATTTTTGCCCTGTGGGACCTCTCGAAGAGGGCCTTTCCCATTGACGCTCTCCGTCCCCCTGCGAAGCCGCTGGACATTCTTATTGGCTAGTGAAGATGTCAATCACCGAGGCTGGCTTGCCATTGGCCATTGGGGAGGGCGCTCCGTGGCTAGAGGGAAGGAGAAGGGATCAGGAGCGGAGCTGAGGGGAGGGAGAGAGGGCCGGTCCGGGTCTGGCCGCCGCCTCTTCTCGTCCTAGGTCTCCAGGCCCGGCTGCAGCTCTGCCCTCGCTCCTGGACGCCATCTGCGAGGCTCCACCGGCCACCGTGGGAGAGCCGCGGGCGGCGGCCGCCCATCATGTCAGCCAAGGACGAGCGGGCCAGGGAGATCCTGAGAGGCTTCAAACTGTATCCGCCCGGGAGCGGGGCGGGGCGGGGCGGGAGGACCGGGCAGCGGCCGCCCCCGAGGAGCCCGGCCCGGGGCAGGGAGGCCCCCCGGGGGGCGCCGGGGACGGACAGCGAGCGCGGCCGGCCAGGACCGGCGCCCGTGCCGCCGGCGGGACCCGGGACGCGAGGCGGGCACGGGGCGCCCTTGCGGGAGGAAGGGGGACGTTGGCAGAGCCCCCGGCGGTGGAGGCTGAGGAGCCCCGGGTCCTGCCAGGGGTGTCAGCGTGGGAAACGCGTGTCCCGGAGGCCTGCGGAGTTCGGAGCTCTGCCCGGGCCGCCGAGGCTGGGGAGGAGCGGCGGCCGGCCGGCCAGGGCCGAGGGGGCGCAGCGGGCTGACCTCCAACCCTGAGAAGCCCCTTTGGCGGGAAGCCCACTTGGGGGGAGCAGGGAAAGTGACCCGGAGCGAGTGGCCCAGTGAACGATAACCCCAGAGGCTGTGTTAAACTCTCTGGGGTCCCCCACCCAGCTCCACAACTTCTCGCCCTCACTTGTGGCTTCTCCCCGGGCTGGAGTGGCAGAGGAAGGGCGGGGCGGGGGACCTCATTTTAGGCCTCTGTCGGCCTTTCGGAGCCCTGGGCTCCTCAGTTTTCTTTCCCACAACTGAGGTCCACAACAGAGCATGGTGACTCTCGCCTGTAATCCCAGCTGCTCAAGGGGCAGAGATCTGAGGATCACACTTCACACTAAGCCAAATGGGAAGGAAAGTTCCTAAGACTCTTTATCTCCAATTTACCAGCCAAAAGCCACAAGTGGAGCTGTGGTTCATACGATAGAGCGGTAGAGCGCCAGCCTTGAGCAAAAAGCTGAGCACCGAGCCCTGAATTCAAGCCCCAGGACAGGCACACAAAAGCCAAGCTTTGGATATGAAATGGCCTTGAGATATTTGGCCTTTACACCGAAACTCCTTAGCAAAAGTATCTTTGCTTGCCGGCATTGATGTGGTGAATGCCTAGCCAGAATGGAGCTGTCCAGAAATTATTTGATTGCATTGAGAACATGTAGGATGTAGTAGGATATTATTGCCCTGGCCCCATGCTGTATCGCTTTGGTCACCTCTCATCGATGTGGTAAGAAAGCTTAGGGATTTGATGTTGTTAGTCCGTTGCCATAAGATGCATTGGAAGTTTTTGATCTTATGTATTTCAATTTCATCTGTGTTCTGCTGACCTTAATCTTTTCCTATGTCCCTTCTCTATAATATGGAATGTTTTTAAGTTCCTCTCTCAGTGAAATGTCATCCCTAGGTAAGGCTGCCCACCTGGAGGTTTATTAAGCAGCATTTTCTGAGAAGCCTATTATGTTGTCACAATGTCCATTTCATCCCTGCAGATTTTGTTTTGACATAGTCACAAGTCAAGTTGGTAGTAAATGTTAGAATACCTGGGGAAAGGGGGTGCAGGGAAAGGTACAAAAATGAGCTGGTTGGATGTATTGGCATGGGAACATGAGGTGGTAAAGTGCTTGAATTTGTGACACCTTAGGTCCCAGCCCCAGCAAAAAAAAAAAGGGGGGGTGGAGGGAGATGGGGAGGAAGTAAAGGAGGGAAAGAGGGATGGAGAAGATGGACAGAGAGGGAGGGAAGGAACAAAGTTTTAGGTGTACACATGAAATTATTAATTAACTGACCTTTTTTTTAGGAGGTAGCAGGATGTACTGCCCTTTGAACTCAGGGTCCCCTGCTTACTAAGCTCAACCTCTTGAACCAGACCCCTAGCCCCCAACCTGCTCTGCTTTTTTAAAAACTGAAAGCTGCATCATCATTGCATACTACCATTTGTGATATATGTTCAGCACTTTTTTGTAGTGACGTTTAGAAACAAACTTTTATACTTTAATGTACTTTAATTCTTCATAATGGAGCCTGTAAATAGGGTGATTATCTTCGAAAAGCTGTGGTATAAATTCTATTTTTCCCTTGAATATATTGTTACATCCCATGTATGCTGTGGATAGTAAAACTGGAAGCTATGGAAAATGGAGAGATTCCAGAAGCAATGCTTTTGTATGGCTGTGATGGTCATATTGCTGAAGATAAAGGTCTTGAACAAGTGGCTTTAAAGTTGAAAAGCCTTGAACTTCTTACTTTAATCTTGACTCTTAAACCTGTTGGGAAAGAGTCTAAGGAACAAATAGGAAAGACTAGACAATAGAACTGTGTCAGCCCACTAAAAGGCAAGTGAATTGGACACTTCAGTGAGGATAGTACATCAGGAAACAGGCTCTCAGAGAAAGTTTTGACCTGAGCTAATTAAATCCTGAAGCACAAGTAAAGCAGCCACCTAGAAGTGTGGGAGCAATAGAGTGCTCTTCCTCTGCTGCCCTCTGGCATCTGAGGATTAAGAGAGAAAAGGAGCTGGGTGCCCATGGCTCATGCCTGTAATCCTAGCTATTCAGGGGGAAGCCAACAGGAAAGTCTGTGAGACTCTTTATTACCAATTACCCACTGAAATGCCAGAAGTAGGGCTATAGCTCAAGGGTAGAGGACTTCTTTGAGTGAAAAAAGCTAAGGAACAGAGTCAAGCCCTACGTTCAAGCCCCAATACTGGCACATCCATGCACGCACACTCACGTACGCAACACACACACACACACACACACACACACGGCAGAAAAATGAGGAACTTCAGAGTTTCCTCCTTTCATGGAAAAAAAGAATTTCGTAGCAAGAGTTACTTGATTATTGTACACCCTTATTTGGGTAAATAACTTTTTTGTGCTAGTACGAGGGCTTGAACTTAGGTCCTGGTGGCTGACCCTGAGCTATGTTGTTCAGCGATAGCATGCTACCACTTGATCCACAGCCCCACTTCGAGCTTTTTGGTGGTTAATTAGAGAGTCACACACTTTTCTACCTGAGCTAGCTTTCAAGCTCAGACCTCAGCCTGCCAAGTAGCTAGGAATACAGGCGTGAGCTACCTAGGTGGTTTTTCTGAAGTTTTTTTTAGAAAGAATAGAGAATAAAAATCATTTCTGTCATTTGTTACTAAACAAAAAGTAACAAGGTTGACAATCCTCAGTTTTCCACATTGACTCTTGTTAGTCATTTCTATATTTGCAAATTTGGAAGACAAATAATTTCTTGTTTGAATTTATATTTTTCTACTTCTTAGATCCCAGAAGAAGTAACAATAGCATAGTGGTTAAGAGCCATGCTGGACTAAGGAATTTCACTGCTTGTCAGAATTCTAGCCCTGTCCTGGTAAAATGGCCCTGAAAACTTTCTTTAAACCTTTACCTCAGGGGCTGGGAAGGTGGCTCAGTGGTAGAGCGCTTGCCTTGCATGCTTGAGGCCCTGGGTTCGATTCCTCAGCACCACATAAGCAAAAAGAAAAAAGCCAGAAGTGGCCGGGCGCTGGTGGCTCACGCCTGTAATTCTAGCTACTCAGGAGGCTGAGATCTGAGGATCGCGGTTCAAAGCCAGCCTGGGCAGGAGAGACCGTGAGACTCCTATCTCCAATAAACCACCAGAAAACCGGAAGTGGCACTGTAGCTCAAGTGGTAGAGTGCTCGCCTTGAGCTGAAGAGCTGAGGGACAGCGCCCAGGCCCAGAGTTCAAGGCCCATGACCGACCAAAAAAGAAAAAAGCCGGAAGTGGTGCTGTGGCTCAGGTGGTAGAGCGCTAGCCTTGAGCTGAAGAGCTGAGGGACAGCACCTAGGCCCAGAGTTCAGGGCCCACTACCGGACCCAAAAAAAAAAAAAAAAAAAAACCTTTACCTCAATTTCCTCACTTTGAAATGGGGGTAATAATAGTAACTATGATAGCTCATGGAGCTATTGCTAGATTAAATGATTAAATTAAATAATTAAATGCTAGCTTAAAGCAGTTAGAAAAATTGGTGCATTGTAAGCCTTATATGTTGAATTAATGTTATTAGAGAAGTTGCATATCTCATGTTTGGCCATTTCATGTTCTATGAATTTATGGTTAATTTAGTTCTTGCCCATTTTACTATTGAGTCTTATGTTTTATGTTGCTTCATGGGTGTTCTCTATATTTTTCATATCAGTCCTTGGCCTGTTAGATAATTTGCAAGTACTTTCTCTCATTATACTGTTTGTCTCTTTTTGGGTTGATGTTGAGGTGAATTTTTTCCATCTGAAAACCAGAAGTGGCGCTATGGCTCAAGTGGTAGAGCGCTAGCCTTGAGCTGAAGAGCTGATGGACAGCGCCCAGGTCCAGAGTTCAGGCCCTTCGACTGGACCTCCCCCCCCCAAAAAAAAAGAATAAAAATGGAATTAGAAGCTGGAAATGTGGCTCAAGTGGTAAAGTGCCAGCTTAGCAAGAATAAGGTCCTGACTTCAAACTC